TGGAAGTCATGCGAATTCTTCACATGAACAAAGGAGACGGTGAAACGAGTTATGCCAAGAACTCCACCGTTCAGGTTGAACTTTTATTATATCAAAAACGTATTTCATGATAGTCTTGTGTAATATATATGAATTAATAATGTTACAAAACAATATCTGAATAAAGTTTTTGTTCTAGCTAGACCTAAAAGTATAATGACAAATGTGTACAATGTATTTTATTTTTGTTTTAATGTATACAACGTTTATGTATACGTGACTCGCAGAGCAACATAATATCTCTAGGCAGAAGAGTAATGGACGAAGCCTTGAAGAAGCTAATGATAAGCAATTCGGAAATTTCGAGCATTGGAATCGCCGACCTAGGTTGCTCCTCCGGTCCCAACAGTCTCTTGTCCATCTCCAACATCGTTGACACAATCCACAACTTGTGTCCTGATCTCGATCGTCCACTCCCTGAGCTCAGAGTCTCTCTCAACGACCTCCCTAGCAATGACTTTAACTACATATTTGCTTCTTTGCCGGAGTTTTATGACCGGCTTAATAAGAGAGAGAAGGACGGTTTAGGCTTCGATCGCAGAGGAGGAGAATCGTGTTTTGTGTCGGCGGTCCCTGGCTCTTTCTACGGACGTTTGTTTCCTCGCCGGAGCCTTCACTTTGTTCACTCTTCTTCAAGTTTACATTGGTTGTCTCAGGTGTGTTTTCTGTTTCTCTATGGGGGAATTTCAGTTATTAATATTTAGTGTATACGAAATTTTTTTTTTTTAAATTAGTGCTTATCAAAAGTTTATTGCCAACTAGCATTCTATTTTCTTTTTTAAAAAAAAAACTAGCATTCTGAAAAATGGATTATCAAATCTAATATTCCCTCCGATTCACAATACAATTCGTTGTAGAATTGTTTTTTCGTTTCTAAATAAATACCGTTTTAGATGTCAATATATATTTTTTTTTGCAAAAATGCCTTATTAAACCTCAAACCTAATAAAAAATACAATTCTTGAACTTATATTGTTTAGAGTAAAAAAGTGCGTTTAAGTATGTTCTTTTTTGTAATTTATGTAAATAGTGCCAAACCTACGACAGTCATTGTGTATATATATACAATTATATTATGACCAGAATATCACAGTTACAATAAAAAATATATAGATAATTTAAAGATAATAAAATTCTCTATAAATTCATAATCGTTTCACAATACAGTACTACCAAAGAAAATATTACGCACGTAATATACCTTTTATTAAGCGAAATTTAGTGCGTTGGAATCTTTCTTATTCGAGAAACCAAAACAACACAAAAACAGAAAACCTAGTGGAACACACATCACACATTCACAAGAAAACACCAATGTGGTCCACATAATTTTGTCCATGTTATCTTATCACACATTGTATAGTATACGTGCTAACAAATGAAATCATCATCTTACAAGGTTCCATGTGGTGATGTGGAGAAGGAAGATGGGGTGGCCATAACTGCTGATTTAGACAACAGAGGAAAAATATACATATCAAAGACAAGTCCTATGAGTGCACATAAAGCCTATGCTCTTCAATTCCAAACTGATTTCGCCATGTTTCTGAGGTCGCGATCTGAAGAGTTGGTCCATGGAGGCCGCATGGTTTTATCGTTCCTCGGTAGAAGCACGCCGGATCCTACAACCGAAGAGAGTTGCTATCAATGGGAACTCCTAGCTCAAGCTCTTATGTCCATGGCAAATGAGGTATAGTTTTGTATATATATGTTCGCCTTTAATTAGAACCAGCATGTACATAGTCTTTTAGGGGTTATATATGGCCCATATTACTCTAAAGGGATCTGACAGTGGCACGTTACTTGACCAATTAAGTCCTCCTAGTAATATGGCATATGCGTTCTTTTCCAAATTTGTTGAATTTTTTTTTCAAATTATTTAAGATAGTAAATTTATATCATATAGAATAGTTTGGATACCATATAAAGAAATTTAGTAGAGCGCTTCACTAGCTCATAACTGTAATACCAAAGAAAACTTGAAAAAGTCGAGCAACTAAACTTTCTAACTATAATAAAAGATTATCGAAAACCAGTTAGATAAATTTTGGAGAAAACATTGAATATACTTATGGTGAAAACCATCTTTATTAGTTTTTGAATATTATTTTTTTCTTGATGATAAAAGTTGTTAGGTAAGGATAAAATACTTATAGTCTCCTCATGATTACAAAAAAATTAATAATATCTTGGTAGTGTAATCTAATTTCTTAATTTCTCTATCAAAATATCAAGATTTTATTAACATCATTATTGAGAGCTCAATTATTGTAGGCTAGATTTTTCTCTAAAAACCTTCAACAATTTCTAGATATTCGATCAAATATCTTGGGTTTGCTCCAACAAGATCTTTATGACTGGATCAATAAATAATTGCCCAATCAAGTTTAATACTCAATAATTCATAACTAAAAGGTGCCTTCTTTTATTTTTTTCATCTAAAAGGGTAGCATCGAAAAAGAGAAGATAGATGCATTCAACGCTCCTTACTATGCTGCGAGCTCTGAAGAGCTGAAAATGGTTATAGAGAAAGAGGGTTCTTTTTCGATCGATCGACTTGAGATAAGTGCGGTTGATTGGGAAGGTGGGAGTATCGGTGATGAGAGTTATGAACTACTACGATCCAAACCTGAAGCCCTAGCTAGTGGACGAAGAGTGGCTAGTACCATACGAGCCGTGGTTGAGTCGATGCTAGAGCCTACGTTCGGTGAAAGTGTGATGGACGAGCTATTTGAAAGGTATGCAAAGATTGTGGGAGAGTACTTCTATGAGAGTTCGCCTCGATACGCCATTTTTAACGTTTCACTCGTTAGAACGGGTTGATCATGTTATAACCTATGCTTGTATACATGTCTTTGGACCTACAATGGCATGATTTGGTACTTTTCAAATTAACTATATGTAATGTCATTTGCTTCGAGGATACAATAAAAATAAAAGGTTTAATTTTACGGAAGGTTTAAAGTAAACTAAAACAAAGATGTTCCTTACATATGCTAGTTAGAAAAATAAAGAAGAACGTCGTTTGTTGTTTAATTGAAACTTAACTATTATTAAAAACATAGGTTATAACATGAATCAACTACTAAAGAAAAACATAAAATTTGATATTCATGCTAGGAGACATTTGCTTTTACAAAAATAAAAGAATCTAAGAAAAACATATTTTTGGGGACAACGGTTTTAGAATATTTTTTTCTCCTCTATATTCCGAGATGGAAGGATTACTATGGCGATATCAATCATTCTTTAGGAAAGAATGCTTTGTTAGTTCTTTAGACGGATTGATTAGAACTAGTTAATATTATCCATTTTAAAAAAATTGGCCCATTTTTGCCGATATTTTAAAAGAGTTTGGATCGAGTGTTCCATGCTAGGTTCTCCAACTTTTCCATGACTCGCATTCTTCGTTCCTTCAATTCAAAGGCAAACTGTTTAGGTTGTTTGTGTCGAGTTAGATTTTCAGAATGTTTCATTTCTAAACATTTCTTTTCAACATTGGATAATCAGTCAAGGAGGTCGAGTCTAAATTTTAAGTGTATGGTTGATAAATTTTATTTTTAGAACGAGAAATTGGCAATGTTTTAACTTTTTTTTTTGTTATTAACCAAATTACCCTTTTAGAATCAACATTTGCAGGGATGCATATAGAGGCATCAATCCAATAAGATCAACTTTAGGGTCACATGTTTATTGGATGTTCCTTTTTTAAAAGGAAATTTTGCTAAATTGATTCATATTAAAATTGGTTTTGTCCCAATAACCTTTGTTTTTTTTTACCAATTTTTTTCTACATTACCCTTTGATTAATATTGAAAATTATAAATAAATGGTTTTTATAATTTTATAAAATCAGAAAAATACAAAAGAATAATGTACAAGGCATATAGATTCATATTTATATTTTTTTTCAAAAAAAATTATGACAGAAAATTATTTATTTTTCCTTCTACCATGGTCGAATCTACTAGTAGATTAGGTGTTCTGCGAATTTGTATAAATCTATGAGTGGTAGAAGGAAGTATTCTACTAATTGTTCATGTTCTACATATCGTAGATTGTATATTCCACCATTTTGCTTCAATACTACCAACCGCAGAATACTATTTCTACCAATGACTTTGTCTTCTACGATACGCAGGATACATATTCTACCCCTTTTATCAACCGCTTTCTCTATCTTCTATCAAATGGTAGAAATGATATTCTACCAAAATTAGTTTTAATCTTCTAAATCTAGGACCATTAAATTGTGAGTTATTTTCTTTCCAAAAACGTAATATTCGTTAAATATTTCATAAATCTATTATCCTCCTTCATGATTTTCTTCTTTTCATAAAAAAGATTTTTGACGTTTTTTTTTCAAACGTTTTTTGAAGTGTTTTTGGAAAAAACACATTTTGCATTTTTTCGAATTCTACAATTTTTTGATTAAAAGCGGAAAACATATATGAATATAATGTTTTTTATTTTTTTATGTTTAAAAATAAAAACGCAAAAAAATGAATATTCTGTTTTTTTTTAAAATTTCGAAAATATTTTAAAATTTTTATTTTTATATATTGAAAGTTAAAATTGAATTATGAAAATATCTAAAGTTATTGGGACAAAAAAATATGTGTGTATAAATATTATTAAGATATTTCCAATTTTAAACTGGATTAATTTAGCAAATTTCTCTGGAAAATGGAGATCAAAGCGGAATATGACGTGAGAGTGGTAAAATTGATTATCACTTTATTTGCCACTTAGGAGTTGTGTGCCTTCAACAAGTGGAAACAAATTAATCATGGCCACTCGTGAGAATGTAGTGCAATACCCCAACCAGCCTCTCTCTACCGTCCACGTGTCACCCATTTTATGCTTTTTATTCTATTTCTATAATGTTCTTTTTGTTCAACTTTCAGAGCATCACGTCACCTCCAATGACCAAGACAATTTTATAACCAGAGAAAAAGTTCCATTACCATTTATTTATAGCCGTTGAAACGTTTTCCACATGTTCATGATTTATTTTCTTATTTTGCCAATGATCGTGATTAGTTGCACAATACTGTTGGTTTAAGCTCTCGAACGGTAGTTACAATTTGCTTTATTTGTTTAGGAGTCCAAATGTCATATATAAAATAAGGTTTGAAACTAGTTTTCAAATTTGTGGTGCTTTTTTTTTTTGTCACGAACACACTTTGTTCATTAACTCAACCAAATACAACCGTATCTGGGAATCAATGAGGAACCGAAATGCTAATATTAGAAAATATCAAATTACGTTGACGAGCGGTCTTCGCGAGTAAGTCCGCTTTCGCATTCTGGTCCATGGGCAATACGTGAGCGTAAATTCCGGAAAATAGGAGCGTGATTCTGTCAACTCATCCAACTCTGTTTTAAAACGGGGCCATTTTTCGGGATCCTGTACCATAACAATCAATTCCTGTGAATCCGTTACGAACAGCGCACAATATCTCCGTTTTTTTCGTAAGCTCGTCATCGCCCAAAATAGGCTATGCATCTCCGTGTGTAAAGGAGATACTGTTTGTCGCATTCCCCGTAATCCGATGAGATCCGTTTCTCCGTCTTGGACTTGCAGAATCCATCCCAAACCACTTGTGGGTTCCGTCTCTTTCCATGACCTGTCCACATAGCATCGGAATGTAGCCGCAGTCATCTGGGGGGGAGTGTATCAACTGAGATTCCTGACCAACTCGTTCCATCGAACACCGCGCTATAAGCCAGGCCTCAGCCTCTTTCTTCGTAATGTCGAGAATTGCATGCGGTGACCAG